TATATATAACAATCTACCCCCAAACGCCTAAGTAACTATTACTGCTTGAAGGGCCTCAAAGTATAGACACATATTATAGAAATCTAGATATATATATGTACATATATATATATATGTATACTTTTGACCCTTGCCCAGACCCCAGAAAGGATCCTAAACCTGGGGACCCCCAAAATGACCGCATTACTACATCGGGGAAACTCGGGGATTTGTTGGGGGTGAGGGGTGCATTTTGTAGATCTTGTGCTCGAAGGTTCATGGGACATAGTAACATGTAGTACCTATTTGTAACTGCGCCTATGGCCCTACTTACAACCGACCTGATTGGCCTTATGTAGGTTACCCTATTTACAAGTAGGGTGATCTGAGCTCCCACCCTAACCCTAAACCCTAAACCCTATATACCCCTACATATCCCTATAACCCCTTTCATGAAGGTCTGGGTAGGGACACTGTAGGTCACGGCTGCTGGGGAGTGCCAAGAGACGACGGAGAGCCTGGGGATCGGCTGCGACGCTGTGAAGACAGGCACTTTTTAGGGGGTACACGGGGTAGGGTTTTGGAATTTAGGTTTCGGGATTCAGTGTGTAGGCTTTGGGCTAAGGATTTAGGGATGAAGCTTCAGGAAGTGGCTTGAGAGCTTAGCCTGCGAGGATTAGTGTAGGATTCAGGGTGCAGGATTTCGATGTCGGAAGTTTAATGTGGTATGTTGTTCAATGGGCTTAGGAAAAGAAAGGAAAGCGAAGCTGCTAGATTCAGAGAGCTTGTAGCTTAAGATTTGCGTTTTGGGTTAGGCCTTCCGGCCTGGAGTTTACTGGATCCTCGTTGTTTTTTGGGGGGTGTGCGGGGTTGCACAAATAGCCGCAGAAAGACGCCTGTATTATTCTGAGGGAAATGGGGACAAAGTCTGGAGGTTTCGGTTTGGGTGCGCCTCGTGGGTTTCAGGTTAGGGTTTGAGGGCTTGCAAACTTTTGGGAGTTTCTTCTTCATAGATTTTCATTTGGGGATGGGAGGCACGGTTTCAGTGGATTTCTCAGGATTCTCAAATTGCCGGCACCTGGCACCTGCAGGTGGGAAAGATATGGGGGTTTCCTAAATTAGGGGTAACTTTTTGGCAGTCCCGAGAATACGAAGTATAGCATTTTGGGGTCCATATCGGGTGGGGGCCTTCTATTTTGGGAAACTACTGTACCAGATTTTTCAGGGCACGGCACATGCAGCGGGCAGTCTCCGTTGGATCTGCTCTATGGTCCACGTCAAGCTGTGTTTTGTGGTTTCGGTGTGCTTTGGCCTTCTCAACAGCAGCATGCAGTTGGAAGACCTCCTAAGTGATGTTCCCTTCCCTTTGAGCCCTTTGCCCAAACCCGAAGTTTTTGCAGAACTCAGAGTTAGACAGACAGAGTCACGCTTCCTAAATCCAGCAGTAGAGCGGAGTTGATTGAGAGATTATGATTAGGGTCTACGGGAAAGCTGTGCCCCAAACGTAGCACTTGTAGGGGATCGGGGAATGAGTCCCTGTACTGTCCCCGCCAATGCTCCCTGTAATCCATTCCGCTCTCCACTTTTCGACTTGCGACCCCGAAAGATCCTAGGAACAGATTTAGCACATACTCAAAAGCCAAAGGAGTTCCCATATAAAAACTTCGGGGCCCAAGATTATTATTATTGAGCTATATGCACGTTTGATACAGAGGACAAGGCCAGTTGTCGACTTGTCACATTGCCGGTTGTTTGGCTCCAAAGTACGAACATTCCTTTTGGGGCAGGTGCCAAGAAAAAGGTGTCTCCACTCCGCCGCATGTTCTGAGATCACCTGTCCGAGGACATGTCAGACCCCCAAAACTGCAAATAAAGAAGAGGATGATCATAGCACATCACGTATCAGATTCAGTCACACCCGGCCACAGTAGGACTTATCTTTGAGCAGCTACGGAGCTTCATATGGTATTTCCCGAAAGAGGGTAACCCCAGTATAGGTAGACCCCAACATACGATAATCCTAATTATAGGAACCCCAAAAAGGTGCCCTGATTTGGGAAACCTCCCATACAAGGATTTTTTGAACCCTGTTTGTGAGCGGCAGGACACTCGGGAGTTTTTCAACTGGACTTCCTGCGCTCACCGTCTACAGCAACGGGAGACATCGTCAACCCACAAATCGAAAAAGATGGCGGGATCATGAACCTCTGCATCAGCCACTGGCAGCCAGTTTTACGCATTCTTTTGGTATACCTTGGGTACTGCCCCCACTCAGTAACAGTTGCATAGCAATCAGAATAAGAAATAGATATTCCTTAATGTCACCCTATTATCGACTGTTGGTGCGTGGGGGCAGTACCCAAGGTATACCCTAAGCGAGGGTTTAGGGTTTTGTTTTTTCGGAGTACTACTGTACATTCCCGGATCCCTCCAGGGTAGTACATGCATGACATTCCCTCAAAGTGACGCCTCCCTCCAAAACTTTAGCAGATATCCGAATCCCCTTTACCCCACACTTGTACATACATGTATGTAAATATATCTATAGATATATATATATATATAAGTATATATCCCCGGGGAGTCGCAGATTTTGAGAACTCCCCATGTCCTGCGTTCTGTGTTGAAATCCCGAGCTAGCTTCACCACGCTACGGTCCAGGATTTTAGGGTCTAGGGCCCAGTGATTGAACCCCTAGACCCTAAACCCAAGCCCTAGCCTAGAGCCCTGAGCCTTAAAGTCTACATTTGAGCTATGGTCTAAAAACTCCTTCAAGGGCTTATATACGGGACTATATAGGAGCGAATTATACGTGTTATAAACAAGTTCTAAAGGGGGGGTACTAGGAGTTTAGACTACATCTCAGATAAAATCTCATCCCTTGAGGCGGCTTTGGCGCTGGGTACATCACGGGAGCACCGTTTATCAATGAGCCTCAAACTGTCTACAGCCTGGAGGGCGACTCCTTTCTTACCTGCAGCTTGGTTTAGGGTTTAGGGTTTAGGGCTTAGGGTTTAGGGTTTAGGGTTTAGGGCTTAGAGTTTAGGGTTTAGGGCTTAGGGGGTAATATTTACAAGCTTTAGGGCCCAATGTAATTGTAGCCCCCCTTAAGTAGATAGAATGTGGCTTTGGGTATTTTATAATAAGATCCCCATCTACCCCATATTCGGGGGTTTTCGCTTTGGGCTTAGAGCTGAAGGGCTTAGTGCCGTCAGATTTTGCGGATGCTCCATCTTGTCCTTTGTTACTTACTTCAGCCTTTTTTAAGACAGGGATTATACAGGGGGTTATATTGGGGTCATCTTGGGAAAATGTAAAAGAAAATGAAAACTACTATAATAGGTTATATGGTAATTTTTCTTCGGAGGGCTACCATTCAGGTGCTAGGGCAGCCACGGGACATCAGCCCCGAAATGCTGCCAACTGAGAAGGCGCTCAAGTTACAAACATGTGCTAACCCATATTCCCTTCCGTTCAATATCCGACTCACCCCCTACTCAGAATCACATAGTCTACATAAAGATTTGAATATCTGAGGGGAGCACATGGGATGTTGGGGGGAAGGGCGAGATGTCCTGATGTCCTGCTATGGGCAAGCGTTTTGCATCTTTTTGGAATTCCCCGACTATGCCCCTCTACACTACCCCCGTAGTTGAGGCTGTTTAAGATGATTGGGGCTGAGTTAAGGCTGATTACGGGAAGCTAGGGGGTAGTGTAGTAAGAGTTGCTGATAGGCAGTCCAGAACTTTCTGATCTTAATTGGGAATACGGGAATATGATGCCTATCAAATCCCCATATCATCCCTATATAGTAAGCTGCTAAGCCCCAGTAAGATAAGTGTAGGGAGGAGGTGGAAAAGACGTTGGATCAGGTAGGTTCGACTACTCGACACGTTTTTGCACGATAAACTGATGGATGGCTTTGGGTTTAGGCTTTAGGGTCAGGGTTCGGGTTCCAGTTTTGATAGTTTTGAAACGGTCCAGAGGTCTGGAGCTCGGGAGTGCGGGGGTTTGGGTTTTCGGATTATAGGGCATATAGTCCCCCTTAAGTAGATAGAAAATGGCTTTGGGTGTCTTTAATAGGAACCCATATACCCCACATTCTATCTACTTAAGGGGGACGATAGGGTTTTCGGATTATAGGGCATAGCCACTAGGCATAGCCTGACCTCGCTGCTTCCCTGGTATGCTTCTTCTTGCAGCCCCAATTCTGCGGATCTCGTGGGGGACCACTACTCCCCTTCCAGGCAATGCTGCTCTTGGGTTGTTGTTTTGCCTTCTACTCTACTACGGAGGACTTCCTAATAACAAATTGCGGAGGACAGAGAATTTTGCCACGTTGCGAGGGGAGCAGCGTTGCAGTGGCAGCTCGTTGTGCCCTGAGCCCCTACACCACCACTTACTCCTTAAACCCTAAACGCTAGACCGAGTTGTCGAACTAGGGCCGCCTTTTTTGTACCCCAACATTCACTTGCCGCGCCATGTTCGAGTAGCGGCCTCAAGAATTTCCCAGATTAGGGCCTTACGTTCTTTGTATTCCCATGGTATGAGTATGGGTACCTCAACTTCAGGCCCCTACAATAGGGTTTGAGGTTTGGGGTTTAAGGTTTGAGGCTTGAGGGCAGATTTGTTTTGGTAACGGGAACTTGGAGTCTCTGGCTTCTCACAGGTCAAGCTACGCAAAGGGTGTGGGGCCCAAAGCAGCATTTGCTGTACATTGAGAACCACCCTGAACACCTATTCTGATGTTTTAGGCACGTATTTTGCTTTTCCCCTAAGCAGACAGAATGAAGATCGATTCTTGGCTTTAGGTTTGAGTGCTTGAAGGTTTCAAGCTAAGCGTGTACGGAATGCAACGAATGAACTGAGGGCTTTAAAGTCTCATCTACATAGACCCTGCACCGCAAACCCTTAACCGTAAGCTCTAAACCTCGTAATTTCCTGAGTTAGGGATGTACCTAAACCTCACACCGCAAAACCTAAAACCTAAGCCGAAATACGAGTTGTTTTTGTGCTGAGGCATGGGTGCTCCTCTGTATGTCAACAACTATTCATGCCTGGTCCCTAGCAAGCCGTGGACCCCAAGGGTTCTAGAGGGGGTATATGTGGGGGTTTCCCAAAGCTCGGGGTCCTCCGGGGGGTCCTTATAATAGCGATTATCGTATTTTGGGGGTTTATATTGGCGTCCCCTTGTTTTGGAAAACTACCATATGAGCTGTAGTCTAAACTCCTTCAAGAGGATAATGCAGGGGATTGTATAGCGGACAAACATAAGGCTTGTTCAGGGGGATACTCGGAGTTAAGATTCTACAGTAGCTCATATGGGCTATATTACGTATGGAGTTGTATAGGGATTACATCATGTTGGGAGTTCTATAGGGTTGTACAGCGGGCGTATAGGGGCTATGTTAGGAGTTACATGGGGTTACACAGGGTTACCTAGGGGTACTTTGGAAGTTTGTTCCTGCAAAAGTCACATAGGTTACAGCGTACATGAGGATTAGACATCCAAAATGGGCTATTGGACCTTAAGGGTACCTTAATCTACCCTTCAGAGGGTCCTAATAGGGAATTTTAGGGTCTCATAGCGCATAGTGGATGAATTATAGACCTCTTGATCGCCTTTGGGTAGCACGCTAGGAGGAATCTGGAAGCCCCAATCCCAAAATCAGGTCCCTAGAGCTATACGGTTTAGGTTTTAGGGTTCTATGTATACCATATGACTCATTTGACTATGGCAGGGTTGTTATTGCAGAGGTTAGGGTTACCAATTCGGTTATCGTTGCACATACTATTGCTCCAAACCCTGGACCCTAAACCCTGGCTGACAAACTGAAGGCCTTGGGTCTTAGGTATGTTTCAACAAGGGTTTAGGGTTTAGGGTTTAGTTCTTTGTGTATGTTCTTCCCTCGGCAAGAAAGCTTCCATAGTGATAGCAACCATCTCTGGCCTGCAAAGTCCTGATAACAATATATACCCACGGGTTTAGGATTTAGGGTTTAGGGTTTAGTTTCCATGTTCTTTTCCATTATCCCTATATAACCCCAATACTACAGAATCTATACCCTGTATAACCCATTGGAGTAGCTTCCATTTTCTTTTCCATTATCCACTATGCACTGCCAGGTCCTGATCCAAGCGCGGTGCCTGGGGAGGTCTACAGCAACTACCTGGGCACTTTCTGTCACAAGGGATATGCTAGCAGATGGTCTGCTTGCAGCCTCACGTCAACGGCCGACAGGCAGGGAGCGTCAATGGATGGGAGTCTGCTGTTCTTATCTCCCAAAACCCTCAACCCTAAACCCTAAACCTCCAAACCCTAAACCCCAAACAATGTCCTTTTCAAGCATCTCAGTGTTGGTATGCGGTTTCGGGGCCGAGCGCAATGCTTTGTGAGTTCAACCATAATTATAAAGTATTCCCCATATATTCCTTAGTTTCCATTTCATTTTCCATGTTCTTTTCCATTTGATTCTCCATTATTATTGGGGGTAACATCCCTAAACCCTATCTTCGTGGTTTGCAGCATTGCCACAATACCTACGACCTCCCCATCCGGCCCCCCCGTGATCATTGTGTTGGTCATTCTCCTTACCCACTGCTAGCACCGTGCCGATGACGGCGACGGCCATGAAGCCTAAGTTGTGATGGTCTCCTAGCACTGATCATCGCCAGACTCCTATGTGCCACCTGAAAATCCAATCCCTATAATCCCTATAATCCCTGTAGTTTCCATTTTCTTTTCCATTATCCCAATATAACCCCTAAACCCTAAACCCATAATAACCCCTATATACTCCCTCCACTTGGCAACTTGGAAGTCAGCTTGGTGCAGGTGCTGCGGGGTATTCAACGGCGGTGCGAACGATTACCAGAAATACCCTTTCCCTGACTACTACTACGACAAGGCAGATCTCTGAGCATTTTAAGTCGCTTTTGGGCCTGTGGCGAATTTGGTTTATGAGATACTCCGTATAGTGTGTATGATACAGGAATTGCCAGAGTGGGACCATAGGACCACAGGCACAGCTTCAAATATGCAAATTATTATGATTCTTGCTGTGATTATTACCATTGTTACCATAAGTCTATATAGGGGGTTTGGGGGCACCTACAATAGGGAATACAGTAAGTTAGGGTCTATTGGGTATATTCGGGTCCCCCTATTTATGGACACGACCATATATGCACTGTCTATTTTTCCTCGCTCGATACGCCGAGGGGTTCGTTGACTCTGGCAGTCTTCGACGTGTAATCCGGAACTGAGCCTGGGACATCTAAACCAACAGTTCGATGCAGAAAGAGTACAGCCCTCGTATAGATGTAAGCTTAGAGTCTGTCTTTGGATGTTTCTAGCACCGGTCATCAGCTCAGTACTAGCCCATTCATGCCTGTGGGAAAGATTTGCGCGCCATGACAGAACTTGTTTCGAACATGTTGAAAATGGCGGAGTTTAGATTTGAGATCATGGCGTTCAGACGAGAGGATTCTGCAGCTACCTCGGGGTTGGTTAAGCGGAGGTCAAACAGCCTCCTAAACTGAATCATAAACACTAGGTCCAGGCTCTAGATTTCTCAAAAATGTAGCTTCTTGTTAAAGTGGCGCCACTCAATTCGATCCCCGGCCCAAGAATGCATGTAGTCCGTGCAGGGGGCGGCTCACACCCGAATGTCGTCGCCCCCAAAACCGCAGGATGACAAAGCATATTCAGATCAAAAGCTTCCAGGCTACAGAAAAAGACTCTGCAGCTTACTGTTCGAAATCAACATACTCCTCTCCAACTCATATTCAGCCCCCCACCCCCCTTCATTACTAAAATCCTAATAACAACCAACAAATATATTTTTTAGTAAGGTTTTGAGGCCGGTTTAGATAATATACCACAATGGGGAGTATTTAATATTAGGGGGTGTTTATATTACGGGGAGAGGAGGCTAGAACCTTGAAGCTTGTGGCTGGGTTAGGGGATTTCAGTTTAGAATTCATGGGTTGGGGAAGCCGGAGAGCCCAAGGAAAATCATACAGGTTGTAACACATATGAGGTATAGTCTAAACTCTTAAGGGGGGGTTGTATGAGGGAGTATATAGGGGACTACTACTAGGAGTTTGGACTATAGCTCAGATTTTCTTAGCGCATCCCTAGTATTGATATATTTTGGGGTGACCCCGAATTTTGAGAAACACGATCTTGTCCAAGGGGTTGGACCCTGGCTCACATGCTCTCAGTGCCGTCACCCAGAACATTGAAAATCACCCAATGCAGGGGCGTGCGTCTTGCGTTTGGTGCGAGAACGGTACTTTGCCCACACAATTTCGGCTTAGTTTTACGGTCTTCCAAGGGCATGAAATAGGGGTTCCTTCTCTCGGAACGTTGCTAACGTAGGGTTTGGGCGCTATTAATGTTGGACGCAAAGATAATTCATACGAAGAAAGGTGCAGGAGGCACAGAATCCACTTTAATTTGCAGTATTTCGGGGAGAGAGTATAGGGCAGGCAGTAGGGAACCCTAAGCCCTAAACCCCAAACTCTAAACCCTGAAACCCTGAAACCCCTAAACCCAAAACCCCTTAAACCTGAAACCCTAAGCCCTAAACCCCAAACTCGGTACCAGGCCCAGCAGCACTTAGCAGCAGGAGCTGACTTCGAGGCTCAGACCTTAGTTAAGTGGGTTTTAGGGTTTATAGGTTTAGTATTTAGGATGGTAACCTGAAGGTGATGTATGGGGGGTTTCTTAAAGTTGGGGTTTACAGAGGTTATAGAGGGACATATAGGGTTTGGGGTTTGGGGCTTGTGCCCTAAGGTCTGAAACCTTGGGCTTGGGGTCCCAAGTACTTAGTAAGTTGAGGGCTATATATTCCGTGACTTAGCGATCCCAACCCCAGGATATAAACCCTAAGGGTACCAGGGTTTAGGGTTTCAGGATTATAGGGTTTAGTGTTTACCCTAAACCTAAACCCTAAAGCCCTAAAACCGTGAACGCCTTAAACCCAAAACCCTGAGAGGCAACCTGCGAAGAGGTCATCGCTGCCATGTCAGCCGATGGGAGTTTCTCAGCACGACGTAGGTCTTAGGGGTCTGGGGATAGTCTCCATAACTAGATAATATAGACCCCATATTGCTCTGATCTGTATGTGTCTTTCTTTTGGGGACCCCATGTGCGGCTTCTAGCGCTTCTGGCTGCTTCTAATTGTTTTGTGGGGTGCAGACGGAGGTTCGAGCCTAAGTCCTAAGTTAGAACTCTCCACAGTGATCAATGCTCATTAGCTTCTGTGGAACCTTCATCTGAACCAATTTGATGTTTCAAGTTTTGTTGTGCAAGTTATCTGGAGGTTTCCATTAATACGGGGCCCCAATATAGGCCCCTCAGTTCTAAACTGCCAATAAACTACCGCATGTATTTCTAGGGGCTCCTACAAGGGCCCCTCAATTTTTGGAAGCCACCCAGCTTGCGTAGTTCGTTCCCCTCCAGCCTAAGGGTCCAACAAATCGAGGCTGAGATACCTTCACAATGCGATTTAGGATATAGGGCTCAGGCTTCAGGATTGGCAGCACAGTAAGTCAGTGCTTCACAAAAAATATGTTGATTTATCCTTTGGACCCTTTTCGCTGCATTCCTTTACAGAGATCCGGCCACTGGCTGCGGGATCTCATTTGAGCCGCAACGCACGGCAGATGACCCTAATTAATCTGAGCAATTACAAAAAATAGGCGGTCGAGTAAGGTTAATTAGATACGGAAATAACGTCGG